AGCAGACTTCTTAGACCCGCTTGTCATCCAGAAAATCTGTGTATTGTACTTCAGGTTTTATTAATAAATAAATCCTTTTAATCATTATTATTTCATCAAATTCATCAAAATACAAGGATTTATTTTTATAATACTATCAAATAATTTTATTTGACAAATTTGATCGTGAATATAAATAGATCACTTTATATATGTCAATTCATAAAAACTTTAATAGTTTATTTATTTGTTTCAAAAATACAACTTTATAATTTATTCATATCCTTTACAAAGATTTGCCTATTAAGATATTGACCCATTTTGTAAATGTTAAAGCAAGTCCTGAATATTAGTTTTATAGATGTCTATGACATAAAAATATCAAAAAACGCTAAAAAATTAAAATACTAAATAATTGTGCTATGAATATAGTGATCACCCAGGAAATTAAGTTGTTATAACTTGTTATCGATTTTGCTATCGAAGTAGGTGTTGATTTTGGGCCATGAGCTTGTGGGGTACCAGTTGGACGATAACTTTCAGTACTTTTCGGATCAGTAGTATTATTGTTCCGCGTGCCAATGTATTCAGCAAATGATGGATAGGTGAAATTTGATTCAATATATGGTCGAGTAACATTCATGCATGAGGCGATAGGAACAATATGTTTAAAGGCGCTTTTGAGTTTTGGGTACCATTCAATAGCTTTGGACATTGTGCCATTACTTAGTTCATGCTCCAGAACGATTGCGCCAGAATCAGCGAAGGTTCCATTTTGACCCATATTAACCAAGCTTTGGAAAATAGCATCAATTTGTGCCGGCTGTTCAGTGCCATCAGGTTCCATATCCCAATCATTGGTATCTGTAAATGTTATAATTGCGGTTAGATTTGAACAAACTCGTTTAACATTCGGACGTTCATTTACCAAGATTCCAGATAATAGTTCTCATGTTAAGTTGTTGAGCAATCGCACGAATCCGATTATCAACGTCACCATAAGGCTATCAAAGAAGACAATAAAATAAAAATATGTAATTTTTGTTCGTAATTAACCATTTTATACTATGAAATTAATGTTTACAGGGCGCCAGCAACGAGGTGTTATTCCTATGACACGTTTAATAGCCTTCCTAGCGTAGTACAATTCTGCAAGCGCTTCTTCGTTGGTAAGTGTAGTCATATATTGATGAGACCACGTATGAACACAAATATGATGACCATCTATGAAAGCACGCTGAGCTTCGTTGGGTAATGTAGCAACATTTGATCCAATAAAAAACATCGTCGCTTTCTGATTGTTTTGCTTAAGGAAGTCGTAAAACACAGTATGAGCGCAGTTTGGACCATCATCGTATGTCAAGCCCAAAGTACCTTTAAAATGAATAGCAACAAACATATCGTTAATCTGATATGACAACACGAAGAATTTTTAACGCATTAATACAATTAAGTTCTCACCAGGCTCAGGACAAAAAGAAACATCGTGTTGCAGTGGTGGTTTGGGCGTTGTGCACGTACTATATGACCACCAACAATCTGGGTCACTATCAGGATAACCAGTCGTATCTACATTCCCATTGACCATTTTACGAGTTGCAATCTTAGGTACTTTCGACCAATTAATAGAACTGTTAATCTGCTTAAACTCTTTTGTATTAAAATCTTTACTTGTAGGCTTTTCCCAAATTTTTGGATACCCAGATGAAAAGTCAAATGGAGATGTGTATGATACACATTCTTGCTGAGCGGTAACATTAGTGATTAAAGTAATTAAGAGTGAAATGGTAACCAAGATAATTGACTGAAAACCAAGCATTTTTATTTTTTTATCTGAGAATATTTTATTAAAATGTCTATACATGTCTAGTTTTTCAGTAAAAAAAAATTTTTTAACCAACGAAGGTATAATATAGGAAAAAGGTAGATGCGTAGGGTGAAAAAAGAATAATTAAATTAATATATGCATCTTATGTGCCAAGAAAAGGTTCTTGAGAGTATTATATTATTAAAGTAAAAGGGTAGATGCATAGGATGAGAAAGGAATAATTAGATTAATATATGCATCTTACATTCCAAGAAAAGCTTATTTAGAATAATATATTGATATAAAAATTTACTATCTGCTATGCTAAAAAAGGTTACATACGTACGCATTAAGATTATAAAAACTTTCATATGCCAAGAGAACAAGCTGCATATTGATAGCCAATGCGCATTACGTAAACATTTTTAATAAATTTATTATGCATGCCGATAGTAATATAAAATAAACTCAACTTTTAATCACACTAATATAATTTATCTACATAAGAAGTGATTTTACTCAGTTGAATCTCCTCCGATAGTAATAGTAAGTATATAAAGTACTGTAGCGCTAATAATTTCACCGAAACTCATTTCGTAAACACAACACTTCCGACAATCAATTCATTTTCGGTAATATAAATAGTGTAACGGCTGAATGAGAGAGCGACGCACAATGAATGCACAGTGAAGCTCCAACCGTTAATAGAAGTTATGTGGATTGAATGATGCTAAATTTCTAATGGCATAGCAATTCTTTAAGGGCAAGATAATGATAGTGTGAACTTAATGTAAAAATCATTATTACTATGCTACTTTATGATGGAAACGGGATTCTCCCTCAATTATTAAATAGATGCATTACTTTTATACATTCGATTACTGGAACCTACTAAAGTACTATATTGCATCGGAGATGACATTGTTAGCCGCATGTCAATTTGCACACTGCCTTGTTGCAGCCAGGGATTTTACCAGACTTGGGCGTCTAAAGCCGATCGTCATCAAAATTCACCACAGGTGACCAACGAAAAATTCTTTAAGTTCGTTTAGGGTATTGGTAAGTCATTATATTAGGATTTTGGTTTAGGCGATTATATAGTAAAATCGTTCAAGGAAAACTTTTTATTAGTGCACAAAGGGTGGTTTCTTATACAAACTTTTGAGAAATAAGCAATTTTTGACAAAAGCGACGTTTGTTTTGGATCGCGTTACGTTACACTAAACCGGATCTGTTATTGGCCAATAATCAAATGGGGTGAATTTTTGATTGCGATACTAGGGCGGAGTCTACGGACACATACAGATCAAGTGAATTGGCACGTACCGAAATCACGTGATATAAAACGTACTTGAGTTATCAAGGATAGGATAGTAATGGCGCAAAACGGGCCAACCGGACTAAAACTTAGCTCGGAAAAATACTTATTACGTACGTACGTATTGACTACGCCAGGGCGTAGGGTCGATTTTATCATCACGTGATAGTCGGAAAACAAATGTTGTTAAGATAAAAACTTGGGTTAGAGTTAAGATTAGGTTAAAGTTAGAAAGAACAATAATGTAGCAAATCGCACAAGAAAATTTTTTTGTTAGGACCCCAAAGATGGTTTACTAGACTAAATTTCGAGATAAATGCGATTTTTGCAAAGCGAACGGTTGTTTTAAATTTCTTCATGTTACACCTAATCCTGATCTTTGATTGGTTGATAGACGTCGGAAAATCATGTAACAGTAAAATCGATCCTACGCCCTGGCGTAGTCCGTACGTATGTATAATTGATTTATTAAGTTTTGACTAAGCGCTATGTAGCACTAATATATTACATATTATGCATTTATTAAAAATTAATTAAATATCAATATTGATATATTGAAATAAAATGTGCAATATTTTTGTCAATATCTTTCAAAATTAATTATATTAATTATTCAATTTTGTTGAAATTAATTCAATATTTTCGAAATTATCTATTCAATATTTTCAAAATTATTTATTTAATCTTTTTCGAAATTGATTTTCAATAAATCATTCAATCTTTTCAAAATTGGCTATTAATACTTTTAAAAATGCATCAAATTTAAAAATAATATTTCAAAATTAAATTATATTTGAAATTTACTATAATGTATAATTCTCGAATAAAATTAAATATATTATACTTAAACTAAATATGTAATAGATTGTAATATTATCAAATAATTGCAAAATTAAATTTAATAAATTTTTAAATTTAAATACATAATGAATTGTGTAAGCGAGGTCTTTTATTTAATATAAATAAGATGAAAAGAACATTGATTTTTTTGATATAATTCAATTTCACTATCACTACAAAAATAATAATCTTCACTATTGCTATATTAAAATTACACTATTATCATTGTTATATAATTATTATCTTCACAATCATCATCTCTATTCACTCTTGCTAAGTCATTTAGCCTTATTATAATCCTCTTTTCATTAATATTGTTATTGCTATTTTGTCTAATTTTTATTTCTTATTTATTTTTAATATTTTATATTGGCTTTCGTTAGTATAAATTTTAAAGATTTTAATTATATTAAATATACTTTTTCTGGCATGACATCTTCAAGTTCTGAAAAACAATGTGGCTATTGTGACAAATATAAAACTCATTATAATTTTATTCAATTAAGTGGAGACAAAATGAAAAAGTTTGTTATATGTAATACTTGTGCAAAAAGTAGAAAAGAAAAAAAAACATAAATCTGTTAGTGAATTAGCAAGTGCAAAAAGTTTAAATATACCTAGTATAACAGAATAACACAATTTA